CTTAGACCCCTCCTCCTTCAGGCTCCGTGGTGCGTTCAGGCTCTACATCAGGCTGCAGATCTTAGACCCCTCCTCCTTCAGGCTCCGTGGTGCGTTCAGGCTCTACATCAGGCTGCAGATCTTAGACCCCTCCTCCTTCAGGCTCTGTGGTGCGTTCAGGCTCTACATCAGGCTGCAGATCTTAGACCCCTCCTCCTTCAGGCTCCGTGGTGCGTTCAGGCTCTACATCAGGCTGCAGATCTTAGACCCCTCCTCCTCCAGGCTCCGTGGTGCGTTCAGGCTCTACATCAGGCTGCAGATCTTAGACCCCTCCTCCTCCTCCAGGCTCCGTGATGCGTTCAGGCTCTACATCAGGCTGCAGATCTTAGACCCCTCCTCCTCCAGGCTCCGTGGTGCGTTCAGGCTCTACATCAGGCTGCAGATCTTAGACCCCTCCTCCTTCAGGCTCTGTGGTGCGTTCAGGCTCTACATCAGGCTGCAGATCTTAGACCCCTCCTCCTTCAGGCTCCGTGGTGCGTTCAGGCTCTACATCAGGCTGCAGATCTTAGACCCCTCCTCCTTCAGGCTCTGTGGTGCGTTCAGGCTCTACATCAGGCTGCAGATCTTAGACCCCTCCTCCTTCAGGCTCCGTGGTGCGTTCAGGCTCTACATCAGGCTGCAGATCTTAGACCCCTCCTCCTCCAGGCTCCGTGGTGCGTTCAGGCTCTACATCAGGCTGCAGATCTTAGACCCCTCCTCCTCCTCCAGGCTCCGTGGTGCGTTCAGGCTCTACATCAGGCTGCAGATCTTAGACCCCTCCTCCTCCAGGCTCCGTGGTGCGTTCAGGCTCTACATCAGGCTGCAGATCTTAGACCCCTCCTCCTTCAGGCTCTGTGGTGCGTTCAGGCTCTACATCAGGCTGCAGATCTTAGACCCCTCCTCCTTCAGGCTCCGTGGTGCGTTCAGGCTCTACATCAGGCTGCAGATCTTGGACCCCTCCTCCTTCAGGTGCGTCCGGTCTCTGATCACCACTGATTGGTTCCCGTAGCGGCTGTAGCAGGTGGAATGGCTGCGGCTCAGGTAGTTTGTGGGCGGAGCCTCTTGCTGCTGCTGCTGCTGCCAGATGAGAAGGGAGGCGTCTCTGTACCTGAGGGGGGGGAACGCCTCTGAGAGGGCCTTCTCTGCCAGGGGAGGTCGCTCTCTGTACCTGAGGGGGGGGGACGCCTCTGAGAGGGCCTTCTCTGCCAGGGGGGGTCGCTCTCTGTACCTGAGGGGGGGGGACGCCTCTGAGAGGGCCTTCTCTGCCAGGGGGGGTCGCTCTCTGTACCTGAGGGGGGGGGACGCCTCTGAGAGGGCCTTCTCTGCCAGGGGGGGGCGCCACGCACCTGGGGGGGGGGGAGAGATTTAGTTTTTATTTATTCAAATTCAAAATTCAGATTCAAAGGATTTCTCATCAGATGCTCAGCAGCTTCAATGAAAGTCTTCTGACCTGAGCTCCTCCAGCAAAGCACCATGTACCTGATAGAGTCTATAGACTCTATCAGGTACATGGTGCTTGTCTCTCCGGACAGATAGAGGCTCCAGCAGATTAAAAAGATATTCTGATCCAGGATGAGAGGAGAGGATATGACCCTTTAAGAAGAGGCCGGTCCGGACAGGGGAGCTCTAACAGAACGTCAACACACACCTTCACACAGCTACACACACCTTCACACAGCTTCACACACAGCTACACACACCTTCACACAGCTACACACACCTTCACACACCTTCACACAGCTCCACACACCTCCACACACTTTCACACAGCTACACACACACCTTCACACAGCTACAAACACCTTCACACACACCTTCACACAGCTACACACACACACCTTCACACAGCTCCACACACCTTCACACACCAACACACACCTTCACACAGCTACACACACCTTCACACAGCCACACACACCTTCACACAGCTACACACACCTTCACACAGCTACACACACCTTCACACAGCCACACACACCTTCACACAGCTACACACACACCTACACACACCTTCACACACCTTCACACAGCTACACACAGCTACACACAGCTACACACACAGCTACACACACACCTTCACACACACCTACACACACAGCTACACACAGCTACACACACAGCTACACACACACCTTCACACACCTACACACACCTTCACACAGCTACACACAGCTACACACAGCTACACAAACCTTCACACAGCTACACACACCTTCACACAGCTACACACACAGCTACACACACACCAGAACACAGCTACACACACCTTCACACAGCTACACACACCTCCACACACCTTCACACACCTTCACACAGCTACACACACCTTCACACAGCTACACACACCTTCACACAGCTACACACACAGCTTCACACACCTTCACACAGCTACAAACACCTTCACACACACCTTCACACAGCTCCACACACCTTCACACAGCTCCACACACCTTCACACAGCTCCACACACCTTCACACAGCTACACACACAGCTCCACACACACCAGAACACAGCTACACACACAGCTTCACACAGCTACAAACACCTTCACACACACCTTCACACAGCTACACACACACACCTTCACACAGCTCCACACACCTACACACACCTTCACACAGCTACAAACAGCTACACACACCTTCACACAGCTACACACACACACCTTCACACAGCTCCACACACCTACACACACCTTCACACAGCTACACACAGCTACACACACCTTCACACAGCTACACACAGCTACACACACCTTCACACAGCTACACACACCTTCACACAGCTACACACACCTTCACACAGCTACACACACCTACACACACCCTTCACACAGCTACACACACCTTCACACAGCTACACACACCTTCACACAGCCACACACAGCTACACACAGCTACACACACAGCTACACACACACCTTCACACAGCTACACACACCTTCACACAGCTACACACACCTTCACACAGCTACACACACCTTCACACACCTACACACACCTTCACACAGCTACACACACAGCTACACACACACCTTCACACACCTACACACACCTTCACACAGCTACACACAGCTACACACAGCTACACAAACCTTCACACAGCTACACACACCTTCACACAGCTACACACACCTTCACACAGCTACACACACCTTCACACAGCTACACACAGCTACACACACCTTCACACAGCTACACACACCTTCACACAGCTACACACACCTCCACACACCTTCACACAGCTACACACACCTTCACACAGCTACACACACCTCCACACACCTTCACACAGCTACACACAGCTACACACACCAGAACACAGCTACACACACCAGAACACAGCTACACACACACACACCTTCACACAGCTACACACACCTCCACACAGCTACATACAGACCATCACCGACACTTACCAGCAGCACCAGCACCAGAACCAGTACCAGTAGGAGGACCAGCACCAGCACCAGTAGCAGGACCAGTAGCAGGACCAGTAGGAGGACCAGCACCAGGACCAGTAGCAGGACCAGGACCAGTAGGAGGACCAGAACCAGTAGGAGGACCAGAACCAGGACCAGTAGGAGGACCAGCACCAGGGTCTACAGCGGCGCCACAGCCTGACATGCTGCAGGTTTGCTGGTCATGGTGAACCTGCAGGGAGCAGACCCTGGTCTTTACTGTGAACCTGCAGGGAGCAGACCCTGGTCTTTACTGTGAACCTGCAGGGAGCAGACCCTGGTCTTTACTGTGAACCTGCAGGGAGCAGACCCTGGTCTTTACTGTGAACCTGCAGGGAGCAGACCCTGGTCTTTACTGAATCACCTAGTTTACTCGTTATCCTGCTGCCTGTTACTGAGGAGATCTGGTGATGCCTTCACTGACCTGCTTTCTTTAAGGTGAAAAAGGGCTGAATCTAAAAAAAACTGCAAAATTCTTGACCCTGACCCTGAACGCCTCTCACTGCTGGGGGGTCAACTGATATCTGTAATACCTTTACCTGAGCTCCAGGTGTTTCCTGAATCTGATATAAACAGCTGGTGCTCTGTAACCCGGTGGTTTATTGCAGTGTTATGGTTTAAAAACAGATCAACACACTCACTGATCAACTGCTGTCTCTGCGGGGGGGCTGCTGTCGACACACAGCAGCTAACTGTTAGCTTCAGAGTCATATAGAGTCAGATAGCTTCAGTTAGCTTCAGGTAACTCCCAGCTAGCTTCAGTTAGAGTCATGTAGCTTCAGGTAGAGTCAGTTAGCTTCAGGTTGCGTCAGTTTGCTTCAGGTAGTTCCAAGTTAGCGCAAGTTAGCTTTAGGTAGAGTCAGTTAGCGTCAGTTAGCTTTAGGTAGAGTCAGGTAGCTTCAGTTAGCGTCAGTTAGCTTTAGGTAGAGTCAGGTAGCTTCAGTTAGCGTCAGTTAGCTGTAGGTAGAGTCAGTTAGCGTCAGTTAGCTTTAGGTAGAGTCAGGTAGCTTCAGTTAGCGTCAGTTAGCTTTAGGTAGAGTCAGGTAGCGTCAGTTAGCTTTAGGTAGAGTCAGGTAGCTTCAGTTAGCGTCAGTTAGCTGTAGGTAGAGTCAGTTAGCGTCAGTTAGCTTTAGGTAGAGTCAGGTAGCTTCAGTTAGCGTCAGTTAGCTTTAGGTAGAGTCAGGTAGCGTCAGTTAGCTTTAGGTAGAGTCAGGTAGCTTCAGTTAGCGTCAGTTAGCTGTAGGTAGAGTCAGTTAGCGTCAGTTAGCTTTAGGTAGAGTCAGGTAGCTTCAGTTAGCGTCAGTTAGCTTTAGGTAGAGTCAGGTAGCTTCAGTTAGCGTCAGGTAGCTTCAGTTAACGTCAGTTAGCTTTAGGTAGAGTCAGGTAGCGTCAGTTAGCTTTAGGTAGAGTCAGGTAGCTTCAGTTAGCTTTAGGTAGAGTCAGGTAGCTTCAGTTAGCGTCAGTTAGCTGTAGGTAGTTTCAGTTAGCTTCAGGTAGTTTCAGGTAGCTTCAGGTAGCTTCAGGTAGTTTCAGGTAGTTTCAGGTAGCTTCAGGTAGCTTCAGGTAGCTTCAGGTAGTTTCAGGTAGCTTCAGTTAGCGTCAGTTAGCTGTAGGTAGAGTCAGTTAGCGTCAGTTAGCTTTAGGTAGAGTCAGGTAGCTTCAGTTAGCTTTAGGTAGTTCCCAGTTAGCGCCAGTTAGCTTCAGGTTTGGTTGTTGTTGTTAGCATCGTTAGCATGATGATGCCAAAGAGAAGCCATGACAACGGTGTGTCTGTAAACTGGGTCCGGGTGGGAACAAAGGAGGCAACAAAGCAAATTTAAAAGACCTCATTCATTAATATGGAAATAACGTAAAGTAAGATAAGAATATGAATAAATACAATATAAAAATACAATTAGTAAAAGAAAGGTCACGTTATTACCCTTAGTGCTGTCTACAGGTAGTCACTCAGTGGAGCATTGTGACCCCGGGTGCTGTCTACAGGTAGTCACTCAGTGGAGCATTGTGACCCTGAATGCTGTCTGCAGGTAGTCACTCTGTGGAGCATTTTGACCCCTGGTGCTGTCTACAGGTAGTCACTCAGTGGAGCATTGTGACCCTGAATGCTGTCTGCAGGTAGTCACTCTGTGGAGCATTGTGACCCTGAGTGCTGTCTGCAGGTAGTCACTCTGTGGAGCATTGTGACCCTGAGTATTGTCTGCAGCTAGTCACTCTGTGGAGCATTGTGACCCTGAGTATTGTCTGCAGCTAGTCACTCTGTGGAGCATTGTGACCCTGAGTATTGTCTGCAGCTAGTCACTCTGTGGAGCATTGTGACCCTAAGTGCTGTCTGCAGCTAGTCACTCTGTGGAGCATTGTGACCCTGAGTATTGTCTGCAGGTAGTCACTCTGTGGAGCATTGTGACCCTGAGTGCTGTCTGCAGGTAGTCACTCTGTGGAGCATTGTGACCCTGAGTATTGTCTGCAGCTAGTCACTCTGTGGAGCATTGTGACCCTGAGTGCTGTCTGCAGGTAGTCACTCTGTGGAGCATTGTGACCCTGAGTATTGTCTGCAGCTAGTCACTCTGTGGAGCATTGTGACCCTGAGTGCTGTCTGCAGGTAGTCACTCTGTGGAGCATTGTGACCCTGAGTATTGTCTGCAGGTAGTCACTCTGTGGAGCATTGTGACCCTGAGTATTGTCTGCAGCTAGTCACTCTGTGGAGCATTTTGACCCTGAGTATTGTCTGCAGCTAGTCACTCTGTGGAGCATTGTGACCCTAAGTGCTGTCTGCAGCTAGTCACTCTGTGGAGCATTGTGACCCTGAGTATTGTCTGCAGGTAGTCACTCTGTGGAGCATTGTGACCCTGAGTGCTGTCTGCAGGTAGTCACTCTGTGGAGCATTGTGACCCTGAGTATTGTCTGCAGCTAGTCACTCTGTGGAGCATTGTGACCCTGAGTGCTGTCTGCAGGTAGTCACTCTGTGGAGCATTGTGACCCTGAGTGCTGTCTGCAGGTAGTCACTCTGTGGAGCATTGTGACCCTGAGTGCTGTCTGCAGGTAGTCACTCTGTGGAGCATTTTGACCCCGGGTGCTGTCTACAGGTAGTCACTTTGTGGAACATTGTGGCCCTGAGTATTGTCTGCAGGCTGCAAGTGGCGCTTCAGTTCCTGTCTGTCTCTCAGCATGTCGTCCTCTCAGCTGCTGCTCGCCTGTCTCACTGGTTAGACTGTAGTCTACAGTCTACAGTCTGTAGACTGTAGACTGTAGACTGTCCGTCGTTATATGTAGAAAATATTACGTTTTCTCCGTAATGTTGTTTCCATAACAACAACAACTTCCTGTCAACTGTCCTTCAAAATAATATATTATATCCTTTTTAGTTTCACAGAACACAAATTGGGTTATTTACATAATATGTTTACATGATGTTGTTGTGCAATAAAACAACAGGATAAAGGAAATGTTCAAATTCGGCTGTGATCGTAGCAACATCGGGCCATTCGTGAGGGCATCTTAAGCCTTCGTATGATCGCTGGTGGAGTTTCTCAGGCTCCGGCAGCAACTTCGTGAGCGGTGGCAAAATCTTTGGCATGCCAAAAAATTGCCGAAGGACCTTGCGAAGGTTCATTTTCGTGTTGAATTCGTGTGTCAATTGTGCCCTTCGTAAGGCCATCGTGAGGGCATCGTGTTATCATCGGTGCCATCGGGCATTCGCCCCGATCAGAGTGAGGGTGAATGCACCGATGATAACACGAAGATGACACGATTTCACAAGATGTCCTCACGAGTGCCTTACGAAGTTGCCGCTCACGAAGTTGCTGCCGGAGCCTGAGAAACTCCACCGGCGGTCATACGATGGCTTAGATGCCCTCACGAATGGCCCGATGTTGCTACGATCACAGCCGAATTTGAACATTTCCTTTATCGTGTGTCCATCGGGTGTCAATTTCGGGACAGTGTGACAGGGCCTTAAAGGAAACCCAACAACTCAAGGCCTCCTTAGATCTAATGGATATTTGGAGACAAATTCAAGCAGGTACACATGGCTCAGGGGACAAGGAGCAGGTACACATGGCTCAGGGGACAAGGAGCAGGTACACATGGCTCAGGGGACAAGGAGCAGGTACACATGGCTCAGGGGACAAGGAGCAGGTACACATGGCTCAGGGGACAAGGAGCAGGTACACATGGCTCAGGGGACAAGGAGCAGGTACACATGGCTCAGGGGACAAGGAGCAGGTACACATGGCTCAGGGGACAAGGAGCAGGTACACGTGGCTCAGGGGACAAGGAGCAGGTACACATGGCTCAGGGGACAAGGAGCAGGTACACATGGCTCAGGGGACAAGGAGCAGGTACACATGGCTCAGGGGACAAGGAGCAGGTACACGTGGCTCAGGGGACAAGGAGCAGGTACACATGGCTCAGGGGACAAGGAGCAGGTACACGTGGCTCAGGGGACAAGGAGCAGGTACACGTGGCTCAGGGGACAAGGAGCAGGTACACGTGGCTCAGGGGACAAGGAGCAGGTACACGTGGCTCAGGGGACAAGGAGCAGGTACACATGGCTCAGGGGACAAGGAGCAGGTACACATGGCTCAGGGGACAAGGAGCAGGTACACATGGCTCAGGGGACAAGGAGCAGGTACACGTGGCTCAGGGGACAAGGAGCAGGTACACATGGCTCAGGGGACAAGGAGCAGGTACACATGGCTCAGGGGACAAGGAGCAGGTACACATGGCTAAGGGGACAAGGAGCAGGTACACATGGCTCAGGGGACAAGGAGCAGGTACACATGGCTCAGGGGACAAGGAGCAGGTACACATGGCTCAGGGGACAAGGAGCAGGTACACATGGCTCAGGGGACAAGGAGCAGGTACACATGGCTCAGGGGACAAGGAGCAGGTACACATGGCTCAGGGGACAAGGAGCAAGTACACATGGCTCAGGGGACAAGGAGCAGGTACACATGGCTCAGGGGACAAGGAGCAGGTACACATGGCTCAGGGGACAAGGAGGCAGGTACACATGGCTCAGGGGACAAGGAGCAGGTACACATGGCACAGGGGACAAGGAGCAGGTACACATGGCACAGGGGACAAGGAGCAGGTACACATGGCACAGGGGACAAGGAGCAGGTACACATGGCTAAGGGGACAAGGAGCAGGTACACATGGCTCAGGGGACAAGGAGCAGGTACACATGGCTCAGGGGACAAGGAGCAGGTACACATGGCTCAGGGGACAAGGAGCAGGTACACATGGCTCAGGGGACAAGGAGCAGGTACACATGGCTCAGGGGACAAGGAGCAGGTACACATGGCTCAGGGGACAAGGAGCAAGTACACATGGCTCAGGGGACAAGGAGCAGGTACACATGGCTCAGGGGACAAGGAGCAGGTACACGTGGCTCAGGGGACAAGGAGCAGGTACACGTGGCTCAGGGGACAAGGAGCAGGTACACGTGGCTCAGGGGACAAGGAGCAGGTACACGTGGCTCAGGGGACAAGGAGCAGGTACACATGGCTCAGGGGACAAGGAGCAGGTACACGTGGCTCAGGGGACAAGGAGCAGGTACACATGGCTCAGGGGACAAGGAGCAGGTACACGTGGCTCAGGGGACAAGGAGCAGGTACACGTGGCTCAGGGGACAAGGAGCAGGTACACGTGGCTCAGGGGACAAGGAGCAGGTACACGTGGCTCAGGGGACAAGGAGCAAGTACACGTGGCTCAGGGGGACAAGGAGCAGGTACAACGTGGCTCAGGGGACAAGGAGCAGGTACACATGGCTCAGGGGACAAGGAGCAGGTACACATGGCTCAGGGGACAAGGAGCAAGTACACGTGGCTCAGGGGACAAGGAGCAGGTACACGTGGCTCAGGGGACAAGGAGCAGGTACACGTGGCTCAGGGGACAAGGAGCAAGTACACGTGGCTCAGGGGACAAGGAGCAGGTACACGTGGCTCAGGGGACAAGGAGCAGGTACACGTGGCTCAGGGGACAAGGAGCAGGTACACGTGGCTCAGGGGACAAGGAGCAGGTACACGTGGCTCAGGGGACAAGGAGCAGGTACACGTGGCTCAGGGGACAAGGAGCAGGTACACGTGGCTCAGGGGACAAGGAGCACGTACACGTGGCTCAGGGGACAAGGAGCAGGTACACGTGGCTCAGGGGACAAGGAGCAGGTACACGTGGCTCACGGGACAAGGAGCAGGTACACGTGGCTCAGGGGACAAGGAGCAGGTACACGTGGCTCAGGGGACAAGGAGCAGGTACACGTGGCTCAGGGGACAAGGAGCAAGTACACGTGGGGATCAGGGGACAGAGCAGGTACACATGGCTCAGGGGACAAGGAGCAGGTACACATGGCTCAGGGACAAGGAGCAGGTACACATGGCTCAGGGGACAAGGAGCAGGTACACATGGCTCAGGGGACAAGGAGCAGGTACACATGGCTCAGGGGACAAGGAGCAGGTACACATGGCTCAGGGGACAAGGAGCAGGTACACATGGCTCAGGGGACAAGGAGCAGGTACACA